GAGAGAGAGAGAGAGAGAGAGAGAGATCGAGAGCAGAGCATACGAGAAACAAGTCTTCATCAACCTATCCCTTATCTACAGATTAATCTTTCTTATCTCTTGTTTATGTACAAGTCCATCAAATCTTAAGAACAAGTTCGAGATCTGTTGTCATCCAAGTTCAACTCTCCTTTGTGATGGATGGTTCTTCTCAAAGATGAGCTTTGCTCTCTCTCTCTCTCTCTCATGACACACAAAGATAACCAAAATCTAACGTTATCTCACATCCAATCTCCTCATCAGAATAGTTACATAAGATATATTAATAAATAAATAAGGGAAAAAATAAAGGAAAAATGGTTTGGTGGTGCATCGCAGCATCGAGAAGGTCCACGTATGACGTCATGGATAGGTTCCGAAGAAATGGTTCAAAGATGACTGTAAGTCGGCTTTGGATTACGTTCTATGTTCTCTCACTTCATCCTCTATCCAGCAACCTCCAGAGGCTTAATTTAGTGATCGAATCATCTCCGTACCAATCATTTCCTTTAAGTTTAAGCAAGAAAAAATGGATGAAATGGGTAGAGTGTTCATGATGACTTTGTCGAAGCATGCATGCGTTAGGATAATACTTATCCTCTGAACAACACCATCACCAGCTGACAATAACGTGAGAGAAGATATGTGGAGATCTTTTAGTTTAATTTTATAAGACCAATGATAAAAAAATATTTTAAAGATAAAAAATATTCAAATTAAGGCTTAATTTCATGATTGTCATAAATTAAAAAAAATAAATATACTTTTTTTTAAAACCTTTTTATTCATATAAAAATTAATAACTTAGACTTGAACTATGAGTTTGTTTCGTATTTATCAAAAATTTGATTTTTAATTTGATCGATCTTGTTGATCGATTCAATGCCATATGATCTTTTTGACATTTTTGGTTCAATTATCATGTCGAATCGATGAAGATTGAAATTCTCAGTCTTTTTTTTGTTGTTGTTGTTGGATCGATTAGTTTGCTTCGATTTTAATTTTATTTATTTTTATTTTTAAAATAAAAATAATGGATGTCAAGAGTGACCATTCCTTAGTCGACACATGGCACCGAATGGTTGCACGAGGGGCGAGTGGCCCCACCCAAGTGAAGCCAAATCATAAAGGCCAGGAGGGCGTTCGTTGAATCCATCCTCCCCTCACTACTGACAATAAACAATGGTCTCAGTCAGCCTTCCTTGTCATGTCTCTACTTCATGTGATGATGCCTTCGCTAACTTAGCAGTGCAAAACAACTTCACCTCACAAAGCAGCAGCAGAGTGATCGGAGAACAAAAAAGGGCCATCAGTGACGCCATCCTCCATAGCTCTTTTGAAGTGGCAGTCCAAATCACAAGACAAAGGAACTTGCAAATGAAGGAAAAATTCTGACGAGGGTTGTCAATGGGAGACCAGCATAGATTGGGACCAAGTATCAGGTCGTTAGCCGCAATATCTACAGTGTTTTCAGTACCTTAGAATTGGCCTGTAATGAGCAATGGATAAGGCTCTCGAGGACAGGAAAGCGAGGCAGCAACCAAGAATATTCAGGTGAGTGATATTTATTGCCGAGGAATAGTTCACTGTTTGTTTTATTTTTAATAGAGTTTGGTGATCGATATTCTCAATATCATTATTTTTTGATATATCCTATATATTTTTTAGGAGGGTTAGACACTCTATTAGATGTATGCAAAGTTCAAATTTATGTGTTAGGTATAGAAAAATCTAAGGACGATATCACATATGCAGCGGAAGAACATAAAATAAAAAATTTTTAAATTTCTAAACGGTGTTCATCGTCGTTCAAAGATTGGTACATAAAAACTAGTAAAACTAAAATCTGCGAGAGAGAATGAAAATGGTCAAGTGTCCTTCTATCTAATAGTGATCCACACGGTAGAGATTAAGAAGATGTTCCTTAAATTACTACCTAAATCTTCACACCTACCATCTAAGGAGGAGAAAGGGAGAGGAGAATAAGAGGTGGTAACCAAGAAGCTTAGTCTATGGCCCTTTAGTTCTCTCCTATTTATAGAGCCCCCCTGTTAACTTAACCATAATGGATCCAGTCTTATTGGGTACTGGATCTCCATCCGAAGCCTCTTAGATTAGTGGATCTCTATCCAATAATCTCTATCCATAGGATCCAATAATTCAATGGCTTATTAGATATCCAATAAGATAGGGGTTTCGGCGGATATCTCATATTTGAACCTTACTCGTCGTAACACCTACCATATATGTGTGACCCTCTAGGCCCAATATCGAGTTGGTCATGAGTCATACCTGTTAGAACTCCTTTGGCTCAGTGAATTAGTATCTCTGTAATAATTCACTCAACTCATCAACTACGGATGTACTAGGTCATTACGCCATAGTCCATAGACAATATAAGGGAATTCAATCCTTTAGACCTATCTATCATCAATTACCATGTACATATAGTCCCTTATCCATCTAATATCACAAATACTATATATCGAGCATGGTGCTATCAAGCTCATATGGTTTCTCGTCAAGTCTCGCTCTAATCGGATTTTCTAAGAGAACTCTTTCTCTCTCAATACGAATGACCTTGGCAAATGATTTGTTTGAGCAAGAGCACATGAGATATTCTTCTTATGATACTGAGAGTGGATAATCCTCTATCGACACTCAATAGCCCTCGTAAGGTTGACTACCACTCCCGATGACCAATTATGCTAGATTTGGAACTTCTAAAGCTATAAAGTCTAGTATCAAAAAGTGAAGTACTCATATTGGACATCCTTAGTGTCTTAAGTCTAAGGACCAAGTATACCAATAGGATGATAGAATCGTTGTCTGACAATGAGGTATCATCAACCATCCAACATCCCATTAACGGATCAATCAGTGAACTCATTCTCTAATAAGCACTTGCACTGTATCCCTAATGTCCCCACAAGAGTAGCTATGAGACCAGTCACCTCCATCATAGGGACAAATATATAGCACATCAGTCTATCTGATTATCTCAATATCCCTCTTGAGTAATATGTGACTATGATTATTTAGGGTCTATGTTTAAAGGTGAATCGATCTCATTATCATGATCTCATCACGATTTGATTCTCATTACATAGATCAATGGATATCACAATATTTATAAGCAATAAGCAATATAAAGTAAGAAAATATCATAATAATAATAAGCAAAAAGACTGCATATCATGTCACACGTGTTATTGCTCACATGATTGGCTTATATGACACATATAACCAACACTATGTACTTGAACAAACTCGTCTTATAGAATGATGCTTGAGTTAGGTTCTCCAACCTCACTCAATTTTATCATGCTCTCATAGTTTCTACCAAGAATATGTTCCTTCTTAAGGAATACTGCCCTCTTGGCAATAAAGACCTTTTGGTCTTCGGGATAATATAAATAATACTCATAAGTCTCTTTAGGGTATCCCACGAACTTGCGTTGTTCCGTCCTTGATTCCAATTTATAGGAGTTGTGTCTCCTAACATGGGCAGGGCAGCCCCAAATCTTAACAACCTTAAGATCGGGCTTCTTCCCTTTTCATATATCATATGGTATAGATACTATCACTTTAGATAAAACTCTATTAAGAAGGTAAGCTACGAACTCTATAACGTATCCCCAAAATAAGATGGGTAGATCAGTAAAACTCATCATAGACCGCACCATGTCCAATAGTGTACGGTTCCTCCTTTCCGATACACCATTGAGTTGAGATGTATAAGGATGGGTCCATTGGGATAGGATCCTATGATTTTTGAGGAACTTGGTGAAGTTTGTACTCAAGTACTCTCATCTTCGATCTAATCAAAAAATCTTAATACTCTTCCCAGTCTGATTTTCTACCTCATTCTTGTATTCCCTAAATTTCTCGAAGGCTTCGGACTTGTACTTCATTAAGTACGCATGTCCATGCCTAGAGAAGTCATCGGTGAAAGTAATGAAGTATGAATAATCACCTATGGCCTAAGTTGACATAGGACCACATACATCAATATATACAAGTTATAGCAACTCAGTGGCTCTCTATCTAGTTCCACTAAATAGAGAGTTAGTCTATTTTCCTTGAAGGCAACACTTGTAGGTTACATATGATTCATAATCAAATGGACCTAGGTATCCATCATTTAGCAATATTTGAATTCTTCCCTCATAGATATGACCCAACATACAATGTCATATGTATATATTATTGAATCTCATATTTTGATGATGAAACCAATTGATAATTATTTATGATTTAATCTGCGTTTTGAGTGACATAGGATGCTTTGATCAGGGAGAGACAATTAAAGTAGGAAGAATCATGTTGGGCTAGAGAAACATATCAGAAGATTGGACGTTGGGCCAGAGGATCGGTCGACGTATCGATAGAAGGCTTCGGGTCATGAGTTCGGGCATCGGGCCAAGAAGAGCAGATATTGTGTCAAGGATATCGGAGTTATGGAGGTCAACTGGACGATTGGGCAATAGGCTGCAAGAGAGGACGATGCGTCGAAGAATCGAACGAAGCGTCAATGGACCAATGACATGTCGGACAACATGATTCATACTTGGTAATAATTGTTTAGATCGAAGTGTATTTTACATGTGTATAATTAACTATTATAGCAAGGCATAAAGCAAAATGAAGTCTCGAAGTCAAGAACGCGATTTCATTAAGAGTTTGAGAGTTTGTCGGAAGTCCGGACGTTCGTCGGAAGTTCTACCAAAATTGACCGAGAAGTCCATGAGCTTGCCAGGAGTCCGCTGGAACATTGCCGAGAGATTGTCGGAAGTTCGTCGGAAGCTCGCTGGAAGAAACTAGACTTACGGACTTGTTTAGCTTAGTAAATGTCTTAGAATT